CCCAAGTTGCGGCCAAGAAGAATGCTTTGGCCAAGGCTTCTGCCCTTGATGTGCAACTCCGGAATGTTTGTAAAAATAACCCGTTCCAAACGAGCGTGATTGCAAGGCTCGAGTCTAAGCTTTTGAAGATGAAGGCCGAGGTCGTGGACGCCCGAGCTGAAGCTGAAGAAATTCGAGCTAAGGCTGACAAGAAAGTAGCTGTTTAGTTAAAAGAAGTTGTCGATGCTCGGGCTAAGCTGAGAGGGGCTTCTGATCCAGAGAGCAGAAGCAATGAGTATGCTCGGTGCAAATCTCGGAGGGAAACTCTCGAAGAGATCCATGCTAGGGGCTTCGATCTCTCGGAAGAGATAGCGCAGGCCAAGGCGGATGAATACGATGCCAAGTTCCTCGTTTCCAATGCTGAAGATAATGGAGAAAAGGCCGATGGGGCTGCAGTCCCCGAGGGGAAAATAGACTAGGCTTTTTTCTTTTTGATTCTTTGTACGGTGTTCTTAGAGAACTTTGTAGATGGAGCTTTGTATATACGTATAAAAGGAAGCCTTTTGGTTTCACCTTTCATGCATTTCCCTTCACTTGTGTACGTCTCTTTTTGTTTTGAATTCGTATGTCTGTCGATGTTTGGCCAGGTGAATTGGACTTCTAGGTAAAAACCCTTAGGTTTGTAAATCGGCCTGAGGCTTGTTGGGTTGGCTCGTAGGGTCTTACGCATTTGCCCTTAGGTGTTTTTTAGTTAACTATTTCGGGCTCAGTCTTCGAGTCGGATCTCGACTCGAGCTCACTGACCCTTAAGTTTTCGAATTTTAAGCTGGCGTCTGGGCTCTTATGCGTTGGGTCGGTACGGCCTCTAATACAGGCTGGTTGCCCGAGAGGCAAGCTTGAAATGACAAATAAGTACAAAAAGAAAGATGTGAGGATGAATGAGCTCCTTTTTGATCATAAGTTTAAGGATTCAGTAACGATTTCAAATTAGATTTTGTAGAGAGAGAATGTCCCCCTTCTCTCTAGGTTGACTTTTCGTCATGTTTCTCTCATCTCTTCCAAACATGGCTTTTCCGATCACCTCTCTCCTTCTTCTCTTCTCCTAATATTTTTCAACTCTTTCTCTTTCACTCCTTCAATTTCCACTTTTCTTTCTTACCTTCCTTCTTTCAATTTTCACTAGATCATCTCTTCTTGTTTTGATCTTCAAAAAACTGGTTCCCCACTCTCTTATGACGGACAGGAAAATGCTCTCCACAGCAGAGAAGAAATCTATTGAGATAAAGGAGAAAATCATAGAGCATAACTACTGGTATGAGTGGATAGAAAAGAAACATCGTTTTGAATGTAGGATATACTGTCCTAAACAGGTTATGCTATGGATTTGCCGGGGCTTAGCCTTGGCTTCAGAAATAATAGGCGAGGTAAGCAGCAGATGGAACGAGGACTTCATGTTCTTGTTTTCCAAAATATCAATAGGTTTGGCATATACATCAGAATTGTGACTTGGCAGCGATAAAGAAAAAGGTTTATCATCATCCCTGAGATCTCTTTTAATGCAGGGTGGTCTGAAGCAGCGGACAAAATATAGAGATTTTTGGGAAAGCTCTTGTCATTCAACCCATAGCAACGATACAACCAAAAAAGAGTTTTGTAAATGCTGCCAAGATTTCTAGTTCGCCTGCTGAACCCATTCAATGCGAATAAGTTGGTGAGGAGTCGAGGAAGGTAGCAATAAAATGTGATTCTATGAAAACTAGGATAGAATCTATGAGAAAGTGCTTGGTGGGCAAGCTGGCTTCATTTGACTCGGTTCTTAAAGTTTCTATCCCCCCCCCCCTCCAAAAAAAAAGCCCTTCTACCAACCTCGACATACTCGCCTTCTCTGATCCTTTAAATCCACAACTAAAACCAACAATCACCAACCCGAAATCGGCCCCTCCCCCAATTATATCTCACCCAATTTCTCCATCCTATACATGCTGAACAAGAATTTCATACACCTCTCACCCAAACTTTGATGGCTTCGCATAATCAATTGGAAATCGAAATAGCACTACATGATGTTGATCTAGAGCCCCTAATTTAATGAGGAGGTTTTCCTATTGCCTTGGCATCCAATTGGAGACTTCAGATAGAGTTATAGATTTTGAAATGAAAGAAAGCAATGTAGTAGGGTATCTAATGCTACAAGGACTTCTCGAACTTCATTGAAGATCTTGAAATAATCGATCCGCCACTAGAAGGTGAAAATTTTGACATGGTCGAGAGGTGCATCAAGTTCAAGAATTGAAAGATATTTTTTTACTTCAGACGGGGATGATTAATTTAGAAGTATAAAACAGTCCTTAATGCCTAGAGTTATCTCAGATCATTCTCCCTTAATGTTGCTATATGGTCAGTGGTCTTCAAATCTTTCATATTTCAAATTTGAGAGCATGTGGTTAGAATATTAAGGTTTTGACGGCTTAGTGAAGTATTGGTGGGATTCTATGCACTTTCAAGGTAATCCAGCGACCGAAGCCCCAGTGAACGGCGGCCGTAACTATAACGGTCCTAAGGTAGCAAAATTTCTTGTCGGGTAAGTTCCGACCCGCACGAAAGGCGTAACGATCTGGGCACTGTCTCGGAGAGATTTTATTTTTGCCAAAAATTATAGCAGCTCACGACTCTGTTAAAAGATTGGAATTTGAACACCTTTGGAAGAATTGAAAATAGAAAATCAGTGATTTTGAGTAAAGTGCAAAAAATAGATAGACAATGAGGGACCTTCAGGAATGGGAGTGGGTGCTCAAAGCTGATTTGTTGATGGAGTTGGATGAGATTGCCAGGCTAGGAGACACAAGTCTAGAAGCCTTTGGTTGCAACAGGGGGATAGAAACCACAAGTTTTTTTTCACAAGATGCCCAACATGCACAAGAGATACAGTCATATAGAAATGTTAGAAGCTACCGGTGTCATTCTAGAAGAAGAGGAGCAATTCAAAAACGAGTTCCTTATTTTCTATGAAAATTTGTATACTGCTCTTAATCGAGAGACCAACATAGTCTATGGAAAACCTTCCTTCTATTTCTGAGGATGATGAACAGTGGCTCCAATGGAACATTGAGGAGGAAGAAATTCTAGGAGTGATCAAAGAATGCAATGGGGACAAAGCCCCTAGTCCAGATGGTGTTAATATGGAGTTTTACAAAAAGTGTTGAAGCACTGTCAAGGATGACCTTATTTGAGCAATAAACCATTTCCATTCTCATGAACGCTTCGAAAAAAGCCTTAATGCCTCATATATTGTTCTTATTCCCACTAAAGCGGGTGCTAAAGATCTGAAGGATTATAGGCCAATAAACTTGATTGGTAGTATCTATAGGGTGTTGTCAAACTAGCTTGCGAACAAATTAAAAATTCTTATGAGCAAGCTTGTTTCCCCTTATCAAATGGCTTTTGTGAGTGGCAGACGGATTGTAGATGCTTCTCTTATTCCTAATGAGTATCTCGACCCTAGAATGATGCAGAAAAATGTTGGAATTTTGTGCAAACTAGATATTGAAAAAACTTTTGACAGTGTACACTGGGATTCCCTCGTCAACATGTTAAAGTCTATGGGTTATGGATGAAAATGGGTAAATTGGATCCAATTCTGTAACTCTGTAGTAAAGATGTCCATTATTATAAATGGTTCACCTAAAGGTTTCTTCGCAACAAAAAAAGGTTTAAGACAAGGTTAACCCTCCTTTTCCTTTTCTTTCCACCTCGCTCATGGAAGGTTTAAGCAAAATGTTAGTGGCAGCTGAGTCAGAGGGATGGATTATAGGTTTGAATCCAAATATGAGGAATCGGGGAGCAATGCATCTTACACACCTCTTTTATGCAGATGATTTCCTTATATTTTTGTGATGCAGAGAGAATCTTTTTTATATATACGTATGGTTCTCCTGTTTTTTGAAGCAGTGTGGCCTCCACATTAATTTTTCCAAGCGTGTTTTATACCTAGAAAATGATGTTCCCTAATATATTGGAAATTGCAAACACTATGGGTTGCACAATAAGTACCTTTCCTACAAAATATTTGGGTCTTACTTTAGCGGTAAAGGCTAGGCTGTCGAGGAATGACGTTTTGGAGAAATGTGAAAGGAAACTTTTTTGTTGGAAGGGGAAATACTTAGTGTTAATCAAGAGTGTGCTAGATTCTGTGGCTCAAAGAATGGACAAACTTCATAGAGACTTTTTCTAGCAAGGGAAAGAGAGCATATGACTTTTAATCTGTTAAAGTGGGGAGTGGTGGTTACTGATAAGAAAGCAGGAGGCATGAGAGTCAAGGATTTAAGAGCTCAAAGAATTAGCTTGCAGCAAAAGTGGTTATGGAGATTTAATAAAGAGGAAGGGCCATTGTGGAGAAACATTTTCATAAATCATAACAAAATATGGTTTACTAAACCCTTGGATCACCAAACTTCCTCCACATGTGGTTCCTCATATTCCCAGCACATGTGGTATTCGGAAGCAATTGAGAACTCATTGGGATTCTTTCATCCTCTTTTCACAATAGAAATTGGCAATGGTATGAAAGCAAGATTCTAGGAAGATATCTGAATGGGCTCTACTCGTTTAAAGGATCAACATCTAGATTTATTCTCTTTGGCATGGAACGGGAAGCGTCACTGGTAGAATATTGGTCTGATCTTGGCTGGAACATCACATTCAAACGCAATTTTGATGAACGGGAAATGGGCTTGCTTCTTTATTGCAACAACTTCACAATTCTCCCTTTTTCTCACCAACTGATTCTATAAGGTGGATTCACGATTCAAAAGGCCTCTTTTCTGTTAAATCATTCTACAAGTAGTTAAAAACCCCTTGTTGAGAACTGGCCTTGGAAATGCATTTGGCGCAACAGGGCACTAATAAAAGTAGAATGTTTTTTGTGGTTGGTGGAAAGGGTGCATGTCTTATGCACGATAATCTTCAGAAAAGGAAAATCAACATATACAGCTGGTGCGCACTTTGTGGTAATTAAGCCGAAGATGTCAACTACCTATTTCTTCACTGTTATTTACCTCCCAGATATGGAGCTTCTTTTTAAGTATTTTGGGGGTCACCTGGAGAATGCCAATGAAAACAAAGGAGTTATGGCCATCGGACTGGGTAAAACCTGAATTAACCGTGGTGCACTTGCGGGAAACTCCTTGTCGAGGGCATGTGCACCCCCGGGATTAGTCGAGGCTCTTAGAGACTCGGACACCCGGTGCAAATTCAAAAAAAAAAAAGGAGTTATTATAGAGTTGGCATCTAAGGGGTTTAGAAAAGGCAAAGAGGATAACCGGAACACAATCCCTTTAGTGATTTGGTGGATAGCTTGGAAGGAAAGGAATGAAAGAGTTTTTGAGAGCAAACTTTAATTTGTAATTATCATTAAATATCTTGTTTATTTTTTTGGTGCAATATGGCTGTTGCAAATGACATTGAGGTCATGGTTGACCTTTTGAGCTCATTACACAACTCGTAATGTAGTCTATCGTCGTAAATACTTTCACATCACTTTCTAATTGCTGAAATAAATATATTACCTATAATATTAAAAAAAAAAAAAAAAAGAAACCCAATTGTCATGGTGGAGCATACATGCTATTGTTTAAGACACAATGGATAGTAGTTGCAGAAGCTAGAAACTAATTCTGAGGCTTAGAACCAAACAAGTTTTATACGTGGAGTATGGGATTGGAAAAAAGGGTTATGTTCAGCTTGGCCTTTCTTGGATCAAGATTTTTCTCTGAGGACAAGATCCAACTTTTGCATGAATTAAGATAAAAATTAGGATTAAGTTAATAGCCAACTAAGCCCCAAGGTTGAGGGGCTTGTGCCTCAGGTCACAAGTTTAAGCCTTGCGCCAAGTGAACTAACTCTGGTATTTAAGTGGAGAAGGGTAAGGGGCCATCATCCCCGAGTTTCGGAGGCTGCGGTTGGCCCGAAAGGTCGGCTCTAGATGGATTTCTCGTTCTTCCAAAAAATAAAAAAAGAATAATAGCCAACTAAATCTTCATGATTTGATTTGGAGTTCTTTTGGAAGGCGACGTACTTCAATAAAAGAGAATAAAATATGTTATGATTCTAGCAAACTGATCCAGCTGTTAATATTGTGACAAGCACTTAATCTTGAAATATAATCAAGATTATTCCATCATATGCCTGTCCTCCACTTTTTGGTATACTCTTGGTATACAGGAATTTTCCCACATATTTACCTTACAGAAATAATTGCATCAATGTTTGTGGAATCTACTTCAGATCAGATGGTTTTACCTCACCGGAACAAAGATTTTAGATATGGAGGTTAAATGTGTTCTCATGGATTTTGTAGTAGTTAATACTTAGATGTATCCATGAGTTAATTGTTGTCAATGCCTCCTGATTGGGTAGTCTATAATTAGTTTGTCCTTTGAAGTGGATTTTTTTTACTGTTTTCTTTATAATTTAATTGTTTCAATACCTTTTCCTCTTTATAGGTGAAGTATACACTGTTACCTGCAGCCCAACAGATGCTAGTTTGGTGGCAACCGGTGGTGGAGATGATACAGTATTTATGTGGAAGATTGGGCAAGGCGATTTTGCTTTTGAGTTGCAAGGTAAATGAGTCGTGACTTACACTAAGAATCTTTGTCTTGTCTTTATCATAAGAATGGTTCTTGTCTTTGTATCGCTTATTCGATCGACTCTTATTCATACACCTTTTAATTTAGGCTCTTTGAGATATGGTGCAGGTTATGGAGATTCTGTATCTAGTTTGGCTTTTAGTACTGATGGTCAGTTGCTTGCTTCTGGGAGCCTTGATGGGCTTATAAGAGTATGGGACATAACTTCAGGTAGTCCGACAGGCACACTTGAAGGTCCTGAAATGGGAATAGAGGTGAAACATTTTCTTGTGCATAAGAATCCATTTTTGTGTAAGTATTTTGAGATCAATTATAAAGTGGGAGGTTGCTCAGTGGGTCAGGTGGCATCCGAGAGGACATGTGGTATTGGCAGGTTCAGAGGATTCTTCTGTTTGGATGTGGAATACTGATAGCAGTGCTTTTATGAACACGTTTTTAGGTCATGCTGGTAGTGTAACGTGTGGTGGTTTCACTCCTGATGGTACTTCCTTGTTTCTCTGATAAAATTGCTTGTGTTTTCCTCCGTTTGAGTAGAAATTATGTTTCTTATATACGCTTGCTCAGGTAAATTAATCTGTACTGGGTCCGATGATGCGACCCTGAGGATATGGGACCCAAAAAGTGCACAAAGTATCCATGTTGTAAGAGGTGAGTTTTTTTTCTTTCTGGCTGCTGCTGTCTTGATTTCTTTTGCATCACAATGTTCGGAATTAGGTGAAAAGTATAGCTGTAGTCCACCCCCCACCCCCAAGACACACACACGCAAAAAATAGGAATGGTTCTGGCCCTAGAGATAGAAGGCTTTCTGCCACTTATCTCAAAAAAGAAGGTAGAAGCCTTTCTGGCAATAATAAAATGTGTTCCCATATTTTGGGGGACGTGACTTAGATATAAAACCCTGGATAAATTTGTGGATTGAAGCACGTGTTAATATATTGCTAAGTTAGTGTTTCTCTTCTTTAATTCTCAAGGACCTTACTGATCAATGTCTTGCTTGATTTTTTCCTCGCATTATTGTGTTGAACTGGCTCTCTGTACTTCCATATCAAGAAATGATGTTAGCACTCTTATCAATGGCGAGATTTCTTGTCTCAACATTGGTCTTTCATTAGAGAAACTACTTTTCTAGATTAAGACATGATTTGTCAGATCTGGTCTTAGTATTATTATTTGTTAATTTTTGAAATAATATTTTATTTATTGTTGCAAGGTCAGCCGTATCACACAGAAGGATTGACATGCTTGACAATCAGCTTAGATTCAACTCTTGCTCTCACAGGCTCGAAGGATGGTTCGGCTCACATTGTGAATATAATTACTGGAAAGGTCAGAAATTTCGATGGATGTTAATTTGCACTTTACATTTCTCACAATGGTTTCTTGTGTAATTGCTGCTTCCAGACCTTGGAGGCTGTGTGTCTGATCACTGATTATTATTTTCTTGTCAGGTTGTCACTTCTCTGAGTGTTCATACAGATTCGATAGAATGTGACAGCTTTTCAGCAAGGTTTTGTCTACATCTGACATCTTTCTATCTATCCTTGTTTTTTTTTTACCGTTTCAATGCCTTTTATCTGTAAGAGGAACGAGGACTGGAAAAAATTGTGCAACAACTAAACCCCAAACATGTGAATGTGTCTTGATCACTGAAGACTTTTTTGTCATATTGTAAAATTGCCAGAAGAGGAACCAAATGTTGACGCACTTTCAGAATCAACTGTGTCTTAGGCTCTTAGCAGTCATCTATTAATTTATGTGAGGTTTTCTATTTCTTATGACCGAGAAATCTGTCTGGATCTAAACCTCCACCACAGCCTTTGAAACTCGGGGATAATGGGTCCGCCCCTCTACCCTTCTTCACTTAAATACCAGGCTTAGTTTGCATTACACAGGGCTCGGACCTGTGACCTAAGGCACAAGTTCCTCAACTGTTGCCACTTGAACTAAGCCCTGGTGCCAAGTTTATTTAAGGACCTTTTGTGCGTAAAACTGTATCTGCAGTGCTGCATTCAGATGTTGTGTGGTCATCATGTTGTATTTTGCTGCTGAGGATTTCTAATTGTCTTATTAAGTAACAGATTGTGGTTTCAAAAGAGAAAATCCTGCTTAGACTATTTCTTATCCTTAAGAAGGTTCTAAAGTGTATTTGGATATGAATTGGACCTAAGAAAGCATCAAGCTTTCCAGGATAAGAAATTCATGGTCGAGTAATATAGCATCAGTTTAGTTATTTGTCTGTTGGACTAGCAAGTCGAAAAGAAATGCGTTCTCAAAAACATGATGAATCGACTTTGATTTCCTAGCAATAAGAAAGTCATGGTGGAGTACTATAGCTTCAGTTTAAATATTTGTCTGTTAGACTAGTACGTAGAAACTTATTTCCAAAAGATCCAATGGCATGTGATGTGGGCTGGAAAAAAAAAAAATATATATATATATATACACCACACATTCATTTCCTGCAATATGGCACGATAAAAGCAATCTTTTGAGTAGCTTTTATATTGCGGATAACCCACACTATTTGTATGTTTTCTTGCTTAAAAGGAATACAATTAGTATGCTATCTGCCACAATATTGTTGTCAGTTTGTGTATGGTTAGTGTTATCTTTCTATCAGTCATAGTGGTCAGCATTACGTTGTTACTATGCCCTTGTTTCTTTGAAATTCAATGTTTGACTCAAGATTACTTTGAGAAAATCTTTGATATTAAGCCCGGAGAACCATTCTTCTTGAGCCTATTACAGGCATAAGTTTTTTGGGAAGTCTCTTCCCACCATTGCATGGATATGTTCCTCCTTTGAGATGGAGAACAGGATGAAAGACGAAAACAAGGGTGTACCTCTTAATGAAAATGAGTTTGGCTTAAAACGTAGTATGTAGGGATCTTATATTTATTTTGACTGACGCAGCTGTTCTCACACCTTGAAGTTTTCTACTAAATCCTTTTGCCTGCCAAAACAATCCTGATTGATTGTCGTATATTGTATGCCTTGAATGTCCTTTCTCTAATACTTATTTTTGGATTGCTAAATTAATAATTGCTGCTTTAAACTACTTTCATAATCTGAAATGACTCTCGGCGCTCCTTGGGCTGCAACTGGAGGCATGGATAATAAGCTTGTTATCTGGGATTTGCAACAATACTTACCTCGCTCCATATGTGAACATGAGGTTTAAACTTCCTTCCTTGTGCTCTCTCCTCTCTGTATATATTGCTTCTGCAAACACACTGCTATTTCAAGAAAGTTTTGTAATAAACCCCCACTGTTTTCATTGGCTTGCTATTCACTGACAATACCTTGTATAGGAGGGCGTGACATGCTTATTGTGGTTGGGACAATGTAGATATGTGGCAACGGGTTGTGTTGATGGGCAAGTGCGGATATGGGATAGCCGTTCTGGAGAATGTGTGAAGACCTTTAATGGACACACTGAAGCAATTCAGTCTTTAGCTGCATCGTCCAATGGGGAGTACCTCGTTTCTGTCTCTATGGATAAAACAGCACGAGTATTTGAGATCTCGGAGTTGAACTAAGAGGAGACCCCTATCTTTTTGTGTTGAAGAGTTCAAATAGTTACTCTGACGTTTAAGTGCTACGTAGAGTCAATGAAGTGGATAAAAATCATGAGCGATAGTGGTTCAAATCTTCAAATCACAACTGACACAAATATTAGGTGATTTGTTCCTATCTGCGTAACCCTTGATGGATAGAGTTATTTGGTACCGGTACTGGTGGAAGGTAATAGGTACCGATGAAATAGGCGAGGTGTGCGCAAGATGAGCAAGATGGCAAAGACAACAACGATATAGAAAAGATAAGTGTTGTATTCCATGATATATGGTACCTTTAGCCCTAATTTGTGCAATATAATTCATCAAACTGAGCGATTGATTGATACAAATTAGAACATTTTCTTATTGCGTATGGTGTGTATTATTAGTCCTCTTTTAAGTCTAAAAGAACAAATTCTATCCCCAATGACTGAGCGTTGTTACAAGCCTCTCTCTTCATAGACACGAGTTACAGAGTTGTAGACTTCTAATCCTAATGACGTTCCATTGAAGGGTGCTAATTATGCCTTTTACAAGTCATCTATCATACGTCAAATTGATTCACAACATCAATTGAACTTTGCTGGTTGAATTATAATTTCACAAGAAAAGTGATCTTACTATAGGGTGCTAACTGCTAAGTAGTTTTGCCAATTTTTAGTTTGTTTCTCCGCATGCAAATTTTCACCTCATTTTAACACTGCAATTTTTATTTTTACAAAATTTATTTGGCATTTGGACATAAGAATCGTGAAAATTCGGAAAAAAGTAGAAAAAGAGTTCAAGTGGAAATGGTTTTGAAAATTAGAGTTGTGTTTGGACATAAATATGATTTAGAATTGTTTTTGAATTTTTGTGAGTGATACGAAGCGAATTTTGAAAAGGGAAAAGGGTCAAAAGTCTGTTATATTATTCGTACAAAAATATCCCAACTATTATATTAGTGGCCTAAATATACACCTCTTCCGTTGGGGTCACCCAAGGTGGATGCCCAATCCTATGTGGTACTGACATTTTGGTGGGATGGACACGTATGGCATGCCACCTCACAGGCTGGCACGCCACCTCACAGGCTCATTAAATTTTTGGTTTCATTTTCCGCTTAGTTGTTCATCTTCAATTTTGGATACTAGTATCTGATGGAGCTGATGGGGATTATTCTGAAGATCTCTTTGTATGTAAAGGAAGTGGCAAAGGGCGATCAGCTGTTAATTGATCAATATTTTATGACTTCTTCTTGAATTAGAGTTGTGTACCTTCTTGGGAATTTGTGAATTCTAGGTGAACTGAATAGAGGTGAGCGCGAGAGAGAGACAGAGAGAGAGGAAAAGCTTGCTGTTTGCTAATCTATTTGGTTTTCAGGGAAGAAAAGTTGAAGTATCAAATTTTTTTTTCTCCATTTGCTGAAGTATCAAATTAATAGGCGGTTTTCTAACCTTCACGGCTTCACCAAACAAAAGTTGGAAGGGGAAACTGAAGTGCCAAAAAGAATTCAGCTAAAAAAAGTGAGTCAGTCATATTTCAACAGTATAAGTGGGGGATTTGCATCTATACCCGCTTTTTGGGTCTCGTTTTAACTTGTGCCCGCTTTGCAAAAAAAATTGCAAGCGTACCTACGTTTTCGCGTAACTTCAGCATACAGGGCTGAAGTAGCAAAGGCAATCACGCAAAACTTCAGCATTCTAGTAGACGGGCCTGAAGTAGCAAGTGTGCTGAACCAAGTGTGCTGAAGTTTTTGTTTGTATTGCTGAACTTAAGCATAGTAGCTGAAGTTTTGTTCTCTATTTGTTAATTTTTTATTTGTAATTGCTGAACTTAAACATAGTAGCTGAAGTTTTGTTCTCTATTTGCTGAAGTTTTTGTTTGTAATTGCACTAAATAAGCTGAAGTTTTTTTGTCCTGGATTCATTAGTTTTGTCATTAAGCTTTTTCAAAAACTTCAGCAGAAGATGCTGAAGTTATTTAGTTCATTTATAAGAACTTCAGCACTAAATAAGTTGAAGTTTTTTTGTCCTGGATAAGCTTTTTCAAAAACTTCAGCAGAAGATGCTGAATTTATTTAGTTTATTTGTAAAAACTTCAGCACTAAATAAGCTGAAATTTTTTTGTCCTGGATTCATTAGTTTTGTTATAATCAGACTACTATAAAATAATCAGATTGCCAACACTATCTAAATCATAAAATTTTGGAAACAAATAAACGTGAAAAGAACAGAATTATCATGAAAAGAATCACTAAGTGTGACCTTAAACTTTCCGTACGTAGAAATATTCACAAATTATTGTCTACTAACTTACGTAATATTTATAATTTGTTTTTAAATAATCTGATAAACATACTTATGGCAATTATCCCATGAACTGAAGTTCCATAGCAGCACCAACAACAGCAGAAGAAAGAAGAAGAAGAAGAAGAAGAAGAAGAAGAAGAAGAAAACGAAGAAGGAGAAGGNCATAACCATTATCTCAAAATTTGGATGAGTTCTCTCGAACTAGCTCGGTATCCAGTGTAATTTTACGGCTGGTTAATTAACATTTACTTTATTGGGCCTGAGTCATTAAATTATTTGGGGGATTTGCATCTATACCCGCTTTTTGGGTCACGTTTTAACTTGTGCCCGCTTTGCAAAAAAAATTGCAAGGGTACCACTTTTTCGCGTAACTTCAGCATACAGGGCTGAAGTAGCAAAGGCAATCACGCAAAACTTCAGCATTCTAGTAGACGGGCCTGAAGTAGCAAGTGTGCTGAACCAAGTGTGCTGAAGTTTTTGTTTGTATTGCTGAACTTAAGTATAGTAGCTGAAGTTTTGTTCTCTATTTGCTGAAGTTTTTGTTTGTAATTGCTGAACTTAAGCATAGTAGCTGAAGTTTTGTTCTCTATTTGCTGAAGTTTTTGTTTGTAATTGCACTAAATAAGCTGAAGTTTTTTTGTCCTGGATTCATTAGTTTTGTCATTAAGCTTTTTCAAAAACTTCAGCAGAAGATGCTGAAGTTATTTAGTTCATTATAAAAATTTCAGCACTAAATAAGCTGAAGTTTTTTTGTCCTGGATAAGCTTTTTCAAAAACTTCGGCAGAAGATGCTGAAGTTATTTAGTTCATTTGTAAAAACTTCAGCACTAAATAAGCTGAAGTTTTTTTGTCCTGGATTCATTAGTTTTGTCATTAAGCTTTTTCAAAACTTCAGCAGAAGATGTTGAAGTTATTTAGTTCATTTGTAAAAACTTCAGCACTAAATAAGCTGAAGTTTTTTTGTCCTGGATTCATTAGTTTTGTCATAAAGCTTTTTCAAAAACTTCAGCAAAAAATGTTGAAGTTATTTAGTTCATTTGTAAAAACTTCAGCATTGAGTAAGCTGAAGTTTTTTTTGTCCTAGATTCATTAGTTTTGTCATAAAGCTTTTTCAAAAACTTCAGCAGAAGATGCTGAAGTTATTTAGTTCATTTGTAAAAACTTCAGCAATATATAAGCTGAAGTTTTTGAAAAGCTTTCTAACATACTAGATAAGTAATCACCTTATTCTTTCATAGTGTATTACTACTATAAAATAATCAGAGTGCCAACAGTATCTAAATCATAAATTTTGGAAACAATAAATGTGAAAAGAACAGAACTATCATGATAAGAATCACTAAGTGTGACCTTAAACTTCCCGTACATGGAAATATTCACAAATTATTGTCTACTAACTTACGTAATTATTTATAATTTATTTTTAAATAATCTGATAAACATACTTATGGCAATCATCCCATGAACTGAAGTTCCATAGCAGCACCAACAACAGCAGAAGAAAGAAGAAAAAGAAAACGAATGAGGAGAAAGGGGGCTGAAGTTGTATAAAAAACGGGTACAAGTTAAAACTTTAAAAAAAAAATGGATATAGGTTAAATGGGGGCGACCAAATAGGGCGCCCCGTGCAATTTTTACAGCCAAACTCGAGTGGGTTCCAAGTTCCAACTGAACTTACTACAGAACATATCTAAGTCTAATTCAACCGAGATTGATAGTACCAAGCTGAATGGAGCATTAGACCGTAAGATTCAATTTTTTATTTATATTTTTAATCTTTGTGCCCAATCAAACTGAGACGTAAACTAAATCGGGAGGAGTAAAAAATATAAAAAGGGAAAAAGTAGTAGCGCTTCTCAAAGGGGATTCTTGTAAAATTATCCCATCAATATTTATTTTTTCTAGCCGGTACAACTATATATATATATATACACACACACATTGTACATCCGCCAACTATTTCTAATTTAAAAATTAGATGGACGGTTATTTGAGTNGGGAGAAAGGTGGCTGAAGTTGTTTAAAAAGTGGGTACAAGTTAAAACTTTTTAAAAAATGGGTATAGGTTAAACGGGGGCGACCAAATAGGGCGTCCCGTGCAATTTTTACGTATAAGCTCATATAACAAGTGTATTATTCTTGATTCGTTGCACAGTTTCTGATCTTCCTGCGCTTTTCGTGAAAGAGTTGGGGAAAATGAAAGAAGAAAAAGAGATGCGAAAAATATGTCGATTATCTAAAGTTTCAGTGTAGTGAATAAATTGAGGAGGGTCTATGGCTTGCTGAAGGTGGAGGTGGTGAAAATGGTGGTGGCCATAGTAGCAATGGTGGTGGAGATGGAGGAGGTGCTTATGGTAGAAGAAGAAGTGGAAGGGAGGGGGTAAAATGGGTTGAGGTTGGCGAGGTGGCATGACATATGTGTCCACCTCACCAAAATGTTAGAGCCACGTCGGATTGGGTATCCATCTTGGACAACCTTAATGGAGGAGGGGTATATTTGAACCACTAATATAACAGTAAGGATATTTTGTACGAATAGTATAACGAAGGATAAAATTGATCTTTTTCGCATAAATAGAGGGGCAAATTTGACCTTTTTCCATTTTAAAAAATAGTTTTTTGGAGTTCTTTTTTTTTTCATTCCCTTGCGTTGAGTGAAATGATGGGAATCCTTGTTTGATTTTTTTGAAT